CTATTTCCTTCAAAGCAGCTTGAACTTCTTCCTTCATCACCATAGGCCCTTGCTCAAATGTTATTTCATTAAATTCTTCTGTATGTGCCAATTCCCTTCAATACAATGACTCAGTATATTCCTTCCATCTTCTTTTAATACTTCCTGCATCATTTAATATTCTGCCTAAAGCATCCTTGTGTATAGCAATTCTAGGTTTGAATTTGTTCTTCAGTTCCCTGAGCTTAAGAAATGCTGAATGAATTCGGCCCTTTTGATCTTCTGACTCTAGCTCCTCACACATTTCATTGTAATATTTTGCTCTGTCATTCCGTGTTGCCTTTTGGAATCTTCTGTTAATCTGGGAGATTCACTGAAACTTGTCCACCATGGGTGACCTTGTAAGCATTTGAACACTGGTGGTATAGCATCCAGTGCATCAAAACAATCCAAAGATATCCCAAAGTACAGGAAACTGTCAGACTTGTCACAGTACTAATATGAACAAATGATAAACAAGCAAGTATACACACTTAAGCTATAAAATGTAGCAGCAGGCAAGTCAAATCCCCGATAGAACAAATGATAGGTATACCTCTAAAAGTAAACAACTATACACATAGATCTCATCTGATAGACTGCAGAGGAATCAGACTACAACTGAGGAAAGAATTGCTGGAGAAGCTCAATATCAGCATTCAAAATTAGGCTAGATGCTAAGTGTGGAATAGACCACCATTACTTATGTGCAAGTTTAAACAGAGGAAGAAAATCAAAACAACTCCACAGAACCAAAATAGTCTATTCCACTTGAATTTAAAAATCATCACAAGTAGTTTGAGGCACTGAAGACTAATGATCAAAAGCCAGATGAGTTGCAGAATGATATGAAAGATAAAATCCATAAAGAAAGCAAAAAGGTGATTACAAAAACAGGAAAGAAAATTTTTATATATATGTCAGAAGAAACTGAAAGTTGCACTAGATCATCCAGAAGCCTAAACACAGGGAAGAGATGCTGAAGTAAAAGGGCTGAATACAAGATTTCAAAGGACACCTTGAAAAGATAAAGCAAGGTATTATAAAACACTGTGCAAACAGTTGGAGTCAGAGAATAAAAAGTGGAGAACTCACTTGGTAATTTCTCAAGATGAAGAAACTGAAAACCAAATTCAAGTCTCGAATTGCATTACTAGGAGATGATATGGGTAAAATAATGAACGAATCAGGAGGCATCAAAACAAGATGCAAAGAATACTGTCACTGTCCCAAAAAATATTGATCAACGTTGAAACATTTCATAAAGTAGCATACGAAAAAAGAATGAATGCTAATGAAGGGAAAAGCGCAAGCTGCACCGAAGGCAAAAAATAAAGTCCCAGGAATCAACAGCATACAACTGACATGTTTCAACTAACAAATGCAGCCCTAGACATATTCCCCTGTCTGTGCCAGGAAATTTGGAAGACAGCTACCCTGAATGGAAGAGACCCCTATCTGTTCCCATTCCAAAGAGGTGATCCAGTAGAACATAGGAATTATCAAACAAAATCATTAATAGAAAATACAAGCACAATATTGTTAGAAGATCAAGCAAAAATGGCTAGAACAGTATACGGAAATAAAACTGCCAGAATTTAGAAAATTCTGGATTTAGAAAAGACCATGGAACCAGGGATATTACTGCTAATGTCAGATAGAGTCTGGTTGAAAGCAGAGAATACTAGAAGAATGTCTATTTGATTTTTGCTGACTATGCAGAGGCATTTGATTGTGAGGATCATAACAAACTACGGCTAGTATTGAGAAGAATGGGCATTCCAGAACATTTACTTATGCTCATGTAAAACCTATACAAGCAACTATTGCCCAAACAGAACAAGGGAACACTGCATGGTTTAAAATCAAGAAAAGTGTGTATCAGTGCTATAAATTTTCTCCACACCTACTGAATCCATCTCCAGAACAAACTGTTCAAAAGTTGGAATTTATGAAGAGAATTGTGGCAACAGAATTTGGAGGAAGATTCATCAATAATCTGCATTACGCAGTTTGCACAACCTTGTTCACTGAAAGTAAGGGGGACCTAAAGTGCTTGCTTCATTAGATCAAAGACCATAGCTTTCAGTATGGATTACATCTCAACATCAAGAAAACCAAAATCCTCACCACTGGGTCAATAGGCAGCATCATGATAGCTGGAGAAAAGTTGAAATGATTTTATCTTACTTGGATCCACAAACACCACCCTTGGCAGTCAAGAAATAAAAAGGTATGCTACATATGACATCATGCTTGGGAGGGTGGAGGGACGGCGCAGGAGAGGAAGGCCCTCTACGAGGTGGATTGATTCAGTGACTGGGATAATTGGGATGGGAGTGTCAGAGACAGTGCGATTGGCACAGGACAGAGTGGAGTTTAGGGCTGCTGTACATAGGGTCGCTATGAGTCGCAGGCGACTCGAAGGCACATAACAACAACAACATTGAGAAAGTCAGCTGTCACAGACCTCTCCAAAGAGCAATGATGTCAATTTAAAGACTAAGGTGTGTCTGATTCAGACAATGGTCTTTTTAAATCACTTTCTATGCATCTGAGAGCTGGATACTAAATAAGGGTAACAGAAGAAGAATCAAAGCCTTTAAGCTGTGATGTTGGAGAATATCCAATGGACTGCAAAAGGCATAT